ACATTGTGTGGGTAAAAACATTAGTTCATAGCAGGCATTCAATAAACAGTAATTTGAAATATCATTTTGTGGGGGAAATAGTATATTACATTGGGCATCGTTTACCAAGATAAGAAATTTAGCAGGAAGAACAGGTCTGGGGGAAAGATATGAGTTCAGTTTTAGACATACCAAATGTAAAGTACAAGTGGGCAATCAGATACGAAAATTGAATAAAAAGTTGACTACCTGGGATTTGGTAATTTGGTGAAGCCAAGGGATGAGTGAAGCTACTTGGGTACAAAAATGAGAAGAGGGGCAGAGTGCCAAAGATGGTGTTTGGGGACCCCAATGTCACAGGGCCAGCAGAAAAGAGTGGGCAGTGTCAAAGTCAGAGAAAACCAGAGACAGGAAGGGGAAGTTGAGAGAATACGGTGGCAGGAACTTCAACACAGAAAGCTTCAAGAAGAGGGTTGTGATCAATATTATACACGTCACGTGTATGATCTCAAATGCTGCAGAATGACCAAGGAACCAGAGGGTAGGACGTGTCCATTGGGTTTGGTGGCAGAGGCACTGATTTCTCTGGACTGTAGTGGGCAGCCATCTTAGCACTAGTTAAAGAGAGATGCGGGCCTGAGGAAGGTGGAACGATGGCCGGGAAGGGGAAGCGAGGTATATCAGACAGTAACTAAAGCAGGGTGTGAGGTTAAGAGAGAGGTTTTTGTTTGTTTGCATAAAAGAGGGAAATCAGCTCTGCACACGGTACGTTCACACTTTAGAGACATGAAAGGATGGCACCGCCAGGGACGAAGGGCTGTAGTGAAAGTCTGTGCAGAGAGTTACAAAGCCCCAGAGGGAGAAGCACCCTCCAGGTCTATGGGCTCAGGGACGCCCCTACGAAGGTGGTGCTACAGGAGCTGGGAACTGGGAATGAAGGCGTGTTTGCTGAGGAGAATGGGACTGGAGCGGAAGACAAGGCAGGCTGGCACATCAGCAGATGCCAAGGCAAAGTGTCATGAAAAACAAAGCTTTCTTTCAGAAATGTGGGAGATGTACAGGAAGGCTGAGAGGAAAGGAGGAGATGAGGCTACATGTGCTGGCGAGGGCCAGGATGTCAGGGGCCAGCCCAGGGGCTTCAATGTTACTGAAGTTACTGAAGGACTGCAAATAGAATTAAATGATCAGATGTTTGCCTTAGTGAGGCAAGTCTCCTACGGAAGACAACTACCATAAGAGGCCGAGGGACTGAATCAGGAAAACGGTGAGTAGGGAGCAAGGAGTGGGTGCCTTGGGAGGTCCTGTGTCTGTGGTCTCATTAGAAGCCGCTCACAGCTAGACGAAGAGGACAGAGTCCTGCAGGGACGAGCCAGGGCTTCTGGCTGAGATCCCAGGAGACTATGGGCCACTGACCGAGACAGAGATTATGGGCTGTGTGTGGAAAGGGTCAGGGAGTAATGAGTTCAATTTTAGATATGATTGGTTTCTACAGACTTACAGACTATCCAGAGGAAGGTGCTCAGCAGGTAGATAGAAACATGGCTCTGGGGCTCAGGAGAAGGGTCTGCTGAACAAAGTAGTTTGGAAATCATTCACACACACACATACCCCAAGCCATAGCACAAGCTGTGAGAATAATTTCCTTCTGAGAATAGTGAGCCTGAGAGATAGGCCAGCACCCCAAAAAATACCAAAATAGATAGAGAGAACCAGAGAGGCATGCTAGAGCCCCTAAAAGACAGAATTTAAAGAAAGGAGTGGTCAACAGAATAAAATCTATAAAAGATGTCTGCTCAAGTGAGCACTTAGTATCTCTTGGGCTTCTGGTGCTGGCAAAGGTAGAGTGAACCCATTCCAGCCTGTCCCTCTCACCGACTACACTAAAACTCCAGACAGGATACAAGAAGCAACTACCTGAAGACTCCGCAAAGTTACAGGCGCAGGAGATGGAACAGAGTCAGAGCTTGAATAATGATCCAAGATGGGGATAAGCTTCTAATTTTTTCTCTTAAAGCTGAAACTTTGGGAGAAGCCCTTACAGTTAGTCAGAGAACCAGGACCAGGGGCCCCTGGGTATGGGGAGCAGTGTTTTTTCATTATTTTCCTCTCTCTCTTTCTGCTCCAGCCCTCCCCAAGTTGTGAAACCGCACTGCCATGGGGTTACACAGCACAGTGACAGAGCAGGCACCTAAAGCCCAAGAGAAGACCAAAGTTACCAGGAAAAGGAGCCCCTGGTATCTGAAGATTGTAGGCAAAATCTGTTATTTTTTTCCTCTCTTTTCTCTTGCCACTTTGCTCTAATTGCAAAAAACTACATAACAGCAAGTTGAGGGGGAGCAAAGGGGATCTCCTAATTCTGTATATGAACTGATACAAGTCCTGGGATCACCCCCTAGCTCTGCCTGCACGGGCAAGACACAAAGAGGCATACAGCATAAGCTTTAAGAACTAAACCACAATATAAACCATCATCCAAGTCCCAGAATAGCCCCTACATGGGGCATGAATGGGGCAGACACAAAAAAGCAGGCTTTGAGGCCTGACCTGATACTGGAACTACTGCTCACAGAAGGCTAAACATCATTTGCAATCTGAACCTTACCAGGCTGACTGCATGCCAAGGAAACAAAAAACATCAATATTCTTTACAGTATTTTAACAGGATACATACAGCCTCACATCATAATTAAAATGAAAACACTCTAAAATTAATCAATATACAAAACATGCAAACAAATAACACCCAATAACCAAAACCCAGGAATATCTAAGCAATTCTCAGGAGAAAAGACAATTAACAAGTTCTAGAAGAAGAGAAAGATATTGACAAAAAAAAAATCTGATGGAGTAATAACTACAAACTTGTGAAATTTGATTCTCCAAAACACACAAAGCAAAAACTTAAAGGAGAAAGAGACAATAACAGAAAGGTATCTGAGAAATCCCTAATATTTGTAAATTAAATAATATTTCTAAATAACAATGGGTCAAAAAAGAGGTCTAAAGGGATATTAGAAAATATTTTAAACTGAATGAAAATACAACATATCAAAATTTGTAGGATGCAGCCAAAGCAATAGTTAGAGGGATATTTATAGCATTAAATGATTATATTAAAAAGGAGCAAGTTCAAAATCAATAACCTAGGTTTCTACTTTAAGAGATTAGAAAAAAACCAAATTAAAATGCAAAGCAAGCAGAAGGAAGAAAATAAGAGCAAAAACAATGAAATTGAAAATAGAAAACAATAAAAAGAAATCAATAAAACCAAAGGCTAGTTCTTTGAAAAAAAATCAATGAAATTGATAATCCTCTAGTGAAGCTGGTCAGGATAAAAAGAGAGATGACACAAATCACCAGTTTCAGGGAAAAATGAAGGGATAACACTACAAACTTCTGAAGAGTAATAAGGGGATACTACAAAAAATTCTAAAAGAATCCACTGGTTTTGGGCCAGAATGAACTGAAGAAGGAATGAAAGGAGGATGTGTAGAAACAGAGAGTGCAGACAACTCTTTCAATAAGTTTGTGGGAAAGGACAAAAAATGGCAAGGTAGTAACTATAGGTAAGGAGGGCAACCTTTTAGAGGAGGAACCATGCTCACCTTTATAGGCCGAGAGGAAAGATCCAAGGAGAAAAGTCAATGATACAGGAGAGGGAGAGAAGACCAAAGGCATCATGTCCTAGAGGCAGCAGCAGGGAATGGGCCAGCAACAAGGCGGAATGGCTTGCTTTGCACATGACAGGCACTCTCCTCTAAACCAGGTGGGGATACAATAAGCACAGGCAGGCACACCGACTGGGACTGGTAACTAAATCAGACTTATCATTTAAGACTTTCATTTAAGTTCTTTACCAAACAGAAAGACTGTCAAGAACTAAGATTCTACAATACAACATTGCCATTAAATAGCTTACTTAAATCATGTGAAATTGCAGAATAGCTGAAAAAGACTAGACTTGTGATAGTCTACTGCATGGGTCCACAAACTGTTTCTGTAAAGGACCAGAGAGTAAATATTTTAGGCTCTGCAGGCCAAGAGGCAAAATCAAATGTATTATATAGATAAAGGAGAGAAACCTCTGATCTGCCAGCCCCTAATTGTCTAGGGTGGGCCATATGGGATCAATCAAAACACATTCAGGACAAAAAGCTACTGGCCTGAAGAGAAGGGTCCTGGTGGGCCAGGCCAGCATGTGGTGGTGGTGGGGTAGCCCAGGGCAATTTTGCTTTTTGCTCCAGGGGCCCCCAATCCTGATGTGCCCTCCTCTCCTCCCAAGGGTCCAGCAGTCTTAATTTGGGCAGCCTGCTGGAGGCTAAGCATCTCTTGAACTGCCAACTGAAATTCCATGGCTGGGTGCCTGGTAACCGCCACCAATCGCCGATGTGGAGGTGGCCACCAGAACAGGCCCTGGGCAGCAACACTAAGAGTGGAGGAGGAAACGGGGATGGTAGGGGACACCCTATCTTAGTCTCTAAGGCTCAAGGGGCTAGCCTCCTTGATCGGTACCTAGGCCTTACAAAAAGAGGTGGCAAGCTGGATTTGGCCCATAGGTTGCAGTTTGCTGGCCCCTAGCTCTAAAAACCTCAAAAATAAGCCTGACCTTAAAAAATGAGAATAGCACAAAAATTCTTTATCAAAATATAAGGTTTCATATTTGAATACAATGTTCCCTTTTGCACTCACATTATTTTTAATAAAAAGGTTATGAGTAACACTTCACACCAACCCTCTCCTTCCTTGAAGTTCACTATCAGTTGAAAATGCAAATACACTGACTTAGTTCTTTCCTGAGTCATAAAAGCATCACTTCTGGAAAGATAAAGCTTGAAAACACAGACTGATTAAATTGCATTACTTTTCCAAGAACTCACTTTTCTTCCTACCGTAGAATTGAGAACTGGAAGCAGATGAGATATGGCGTGTCAGCATATATCACAATAAGACATGACAGGGGAGAGGGGAGAGGGAAGAGGAGGGTGATCCTTGTCATGACATCCCCAGTTCATGGAACCTACCCTGATAAATCATTTCGTCCTCCTCAGTCACATAGGCATTGGCTCCCCAAATGACCATCTTGTGGATGTAAGATGGATACTTTGCAGCTGCAATGAGTGCTGTTATACCACCATCACTCCACCCCAGCAAAGAGACCTTTTTAAACTTCAGTGTCTGTGATAAATACAACAGAAAGCACAGCACAGCTTATTGCTCCTCTCTGTTAAAATAAACTGATAATCAATAATTAACAGAAACAATACAGCTGTGGGGGTTTGGAGTATCAACTGGGTAATTAAAGAAAAATCCTAGAGTTCACCATTTGATGACATAAATGTTTTCTCAATTAGTTTGGTGTACATATACTTGTCATAAAAACTTAAGTATGTAGTATTGTTTTGAATTATGAAAGAACCACATCTTCTGGTTGGATAAAATCTCAAGGAACTGGAAACAGTGGCGGCAACTGTACCTGGACATGACAAGTGATGTGTGTGTGCACGCACACCTAAATGAAGACTGTGAGAAGAGTTAGAGAGGGAAATTGGATGAAGTGAAGTCATTGCATCTGGTAAAGCCACTTACTGAAATCTCTTAAGAACTGGCTAGAGGAAGATGGGAAGAGAATGGTGTCACAGGGAGATTATGTTAGTTCTAGGGTGAATCAACCAGGCTCTGAAAATGTGTTTCACAGGGAAAATGAACAAAGATTACATCTGAGAGATGCTGTCAGAACTAAAAATTGGGAAAATTAAGTTAAATAATGAACAAATATCAGTCCAAGATTTTTCCTGATAAACTGGGATAACTACTATGGATAACAACTTGGCACTTTCTTGTAAAAACTCTTACACATGTGCACCAGGAGATAGGTCCAGGATGTCCGCAGCAGTGTTTATAATAGCAAAAAAAATGAGAACTAAAATGTCCATGGACACCAGAATGCTCACTGCACTTCTGTTTTTAATCACAAAAAGGGCAACTTAAAAATTATTTATCTACCATTAAAAGAGAGGTAAAATAAGATCGTACATCCCTACAATAGAATACTATGTGCCTATTAAAATACTGATGGAAACTTTTATTTATTGACATGGAAGTATCTCCTTGACAAATTGTTCAATGAAATAGAAAGTTGGAGAAATATTAGGTACAGTATGATGACATCAATATAAAACTGTTTATTTATATATGTAACAAGATTGGCCAGAAAAGCAGAACCTCAAAGTCTTGGTAGCGGTATCTCTAAATAGTTGGATTATGGGATATTTCTACTTTCTTCTTTATGCCTATTTGAACTCTTTTAAGTGTTCTATAGAAATCACATGGTATTACCCTTGTAGAAATAAAAAACAAAAAACAAAATAAATGAAGTCAGGCCCAGCCATCCTTCCTTGTTTGGGCTCTTCCCTAAGAGACCCACCTTCATCAAATCAACAGCATCTTTTGCATCCCTTTCAAAAAAATCCAAGGGGTAATCTCGATCTGGGGGTCTCGATTGTCCATATCCTCGAGGATCCCAGGCAACCACTGTGAAGAGCTTCTTATTCAGGTTCTTAATCTGAGGTCCAAAATCAGTCTCTCCACTTCCTAAAAATAGGCACCTGGTTAATTCAGGTGAATGTGTTGATTATTTCAAACACATTACTGTAAAAAAAGAAATAATTACAAAATTAAAACAAAGTAACTAGTTTACTCAAAGTTAGACTAGAATGTAATCAGCAAAGGAGCCTTGCAAGGATGGAATCTACAATATTTACTGGGAGGCCGACTTCCTTTCCTGGTGGAGTTCAGAGCTGCCTCTTATCTCCCCCTAGTGGCTACTTTGAGAAAGACAGAGGACCTAATTCTTCAATAATTGTGGCTGTATTATTAAAGTCCTGCACTTTTGAACCTCTTTGGCTTAACCTCCCTTTAAAAAATAAATTAAAAAGAATTCCTTATGCTGCATAGAAATAGATATGCTTCTGGTTCGTTTTTTCTTTCTTTTTAAAAAAATGTCTGTTACAAGAGAGATCCCAATACCTGAAGACAAATTTATGAGATTTGGTCCAAGTTATTCAAAGTGGGATTCTAAAATCCCAGTTTTTTTTTTTTTTACTAAGTTAATGTGAATAGCCCTGAAGATTTTGGGAGGTTATAACTAGAAACCATAAAACTAAACACAGAAATGAGGGGGGAGGGCAGGGTGTGGAAGAAAGAAATCAAATTAGTTTATTTCAGTAAAACATTACAAAACAGCGTATGTTAACAAGCCGGTGTGGACTTGATTGGCAGTCCGCAGCATGCCCACATGCTCAATCCACTGCACGCAGTGTGCAAAGCCAGACTCTCAAGGAGCCCGGTCCAAGGGCAGGTCAGCACTTTATTTTTAAGGTCTGCTTGTTTTCTGAATACTCCTAGCTCAGGCCACAAACGGAGGCTAAATATCTTGCTTGATAAACTAGCTATTATTAGAAAATGTCTTTCAAGATGGTGTAGGATCATTTGCCATTATCAAGGACCATCACTGTTCCTGACAAGATACACCTTTGTCAACATCAGGTAAATAATTCAGAAAACCCAAGCCAAAAACATAAATGGATTTCAAACTCATGTCTACTGCTCTGACATCTGAAGCTTCTCTTATGGTTCCTGAACTGGAGGGACTTCCCCGTGGGCACTACCCTAAAGGAGGGGCAGGTGAGAAGGCAGGAAAAGCGAAAAGTCTAACTCAAGACCAACTTCAGAAATAATAACGCTTGCTTTCTTATACACACGTATACATTTGAAAACCAGCACAAAGAATACTGGAACCTTAAAAAATAATTTTAAGGAACAGTTACGAGTATATGATACTTGAGACAGAAACACATCAACACTGGCTGCATGTGGCGAGGGGGACTGGGCACTGGGGCAGGGGTTTGGGAGAGAGAATCTCACTGTTTGACTTTTTGATTTTTGAACCAGATTGTTTTACATAAACAAAAATTAAATTGTCAAAAGTTTTTTATACCTGGATAATGACTGCAATGCTGAAATAATGAAAATCTAAGCTGAGAAACATTGCTTTTATAGATAACTGGCTGTACATCAGCCATTGGGGTAAATCTACCTCATCACAATAGCTTACGGGAAAAAGGTACTAAATACTATCTAGACAAGAATGCCTCAATAGCTACAATGGTACCAGTCAGCTGAGGCTCAGTCAAGTGGAACATGAAGTAATTTAAAAATTTCAGGAGAAAGCAGGAAATCATAAGGAAATAAGTACATATTGGGGTTATTTAAACAAAACAATACTAAAACCCTTAAAACTGAATTTGAGAAGTCCTGGGATCATTGGAAAATTTCCCCTTGAGCTTTCTACATCTACACTACTTATCTGTAAAATGAGACTGAGACCCAGCTGGCTTTACGATGCTCCATTCATGCCAATCCAATTTTGATTTTCAAAAAGCCTATAAACTCATCAGTTTTGTTCTTAGCTCTTATTTTAATTGGACACAGTCAACCACAACAGGGCAATCAATCCATCAGTCAGCACTAAGAGTCTCCCATCCTGGTACCCCTCGATTCCAGGCAAACTGGAATGGATGGACACCCACTCATCTTCTTCCTTTATCTATTCCTTCTTCCCACACCCCTTGCCTTGACCCCTGTCATCTTTCCAAAGTGTAGGCTACTAACTACATAGTTTACTTGCATGGGAAAAACAAGGTAAAGTAATAAAAAAATACATATAGCAGAAAGTTATCTTTCTATATCACCTAAAGTAGATTGTAGCAAATATTACTTAAGCATTTCAGCAAAGCACTAAAATTAATAATGAGCATTTGGCAACTACTATGTGAAAGCATCGTGGGCTACACAGCAGACAAGTGCATTCCATTAAAACCTTCCAGACCCAACATTCCAGGAAGCAGCAGGACTGCGTGGTCGCCCTCTCCCGTCTGCTGATAATGCAGGTGGACGCCATTCACAGCCACTTTGGCAGAGGTTACTGAAGTGCTAGAAGAGAAAAGCCCCATCCCCAAAGGAAAATTATTATTTAGTGCTGCCAATGTAATATGACCAAACTGCCCTTTTATACACAAGTCAGCTCCAGTACCCTTCTCAGGCTTCTTGGATTATTTTTGTTTTGTTTTGTTTTGTTTAAGCTGAGCCATCCTGCCACCTGTTGGCAGCTCAGCGGCTACTCAGCTCAGGCCGGGACTCGAACCGCTGTTGCTCAGAGCTCAAACTCTTGAGTGAGCTCTTAACCAACTGAGCCACTCGGCCGGCCTCTCTTGGATTATTTTGATGTATGCATGTTTTCCAAACCTAAAAAGGACATGGGTTTGTACCTTCCTTACTAGCCTGCAGATCTGGATTGTCTTCATGTTTGAATATCCTACAGCACCAGCTCAGGGTTTACCCTGCAGAAGTACTGAGAGGCTTGCTCAAATCCATGGCCATTCAGGCCCATGGGCATACATGGCTGGGGAGCTGAAAGCCAGTGGTGCGAAAGCGCAGGCTGACATGGGAGCTCCACACAATGGAACGTGAGGGTGAGCATCAGTATCACAGACCCTGGGCCATCACCTGGACCTAAGCAGTTTAGGGGAGCCACCTGGACCTGCAGCTGCTTTGGCAGCATTCCCAAGGATGAGCCTGATTGCAGGGGTCCACAGGGAAGGCCTTGATCTCCAGGCTGTCCTTTAGGCATATGGCTTCTCACATTCTAAAGCCACCTAGAGGGGCCCTAGTTAGGAATGCCTGTCCACACTGATATGGTCAGACTGGTTTTTAGGATACTGAAATATTTCTGTGTTGATTGCTACATAGCCAGGTCAATAAGCTCTCATCTCAAGAGCCCTCTCCTTGCCACCGACCCTCCTTGGCTCAAGACCTCCCATGATGCAGCATCTAACTGCACGTTTGGCACCAGGAGGGACTCGGGCAAGGGCTACTGTCAGGGTGTGTTCTGACTGAATGATGCATGTACCATACCAGGTGTTCTGTTCTGATGAGCCTCCTCAGCTGCTGTCCCAGAAGCTCTGGGATGACTATGCCAGGGTATACAGCAAGAGCATACACAAGGCCCCTGCATCAGGCTCTAACAGCCTACCCACAAATTTCCCAGATGGCTGGGTGACAGGAGGAAGACATGACATGCCAGGACAGATGCTGGAACAAGTGTGTTGAATACAGGTACATCAAGTCTTAACACACAATTTCTGGGAGCATCTGACAGAATTGGGTGGTAATAAGGCCTGACATAACTATAAGCTCATTATCTACAGAAATATTATGGGAGGAGCAACAATATAGCCACTGAGCAATGGTAATGTCATGCTGACACTGCCAAGTTACTCATTATTACTGTCCTATTCCTCAGGGTAATTCATTTTTATTGTTAAGATGGCTCTAAGAGCAAGATAACAGCAAATAATACTCTACTAATAAGAGTTCATTTCAGTAAACAGTTGTTTACTGACATGTTTGCTTTGCTCACAGTCTAGTGGGAGAAAAGATGAAGACACAGAGATTCACTTGCAAACCCTCTGTGAGGGGTAGGTTATGACTTAGGCATGAAAAGCTTGAGGCACATGGTTGGAGCAAGTTACCAGTATGTCCTGTGTTCATCACAGGAATGAGGCAGCTCCCCAATAGATGACTAGTGTTCGCACAGCTCTTGTCAGTGATGATGTGTACCTTTATGTACTCCTCATGCCCTAAAGGTTTCTGAGGTGCTCCCCTCCTGGCAGCATCAAGGACATGTTCATACAAGTCATTTTGTACAGTGAGGATATTATGTACAATAAGAGGAAACCCCCCCCCAACTTTCTCAAGGTCCAAGCCAGTGGGTTTTCATGACTAAGCGAGTATTACTGATGCTGTCTGCATCTCTCCAGGGGCCCAGGAGCCGGCCTAGGGCACTGGCTTACACAGGCTTCCTTTCCTTCAGCTTTCATGATCATTCCACAGTCTCTTCCACAAAAAACTTAATTTCCCACTGCACTTTGCTGTATCTGTGTTTTGATTCCCCGTTCCAAATTTCTTTTTTATTATCCCTATCCCATACTCTTTAGATTGCCTAATAAGAACATAGAAATAAAACCAGGTAGTCTAGAACTGGGTATAGTGGCAACTTTCTAAGGCAGAAGATTCTGAAGGTGGCTTTAGAGGAGAGACAGAGAGAATAAACACATCAGGGTTGGAGAAGAATGAGAAAATAACGTTTGAGGTGAACTTCCAAGAATGTGGTGAGGGCTCCTCTAGAAAAAGAAATAGTGTGATCAAAGGCCCAGGAGCAAGGGACAAGGCGATACTGAGTCTGGAAGGACTGTGGGGGCAAAGAGGGAACATATTTTTTTGAGGCTGAACAGTGAAGGGGTTTGCAGCTAGACTAAAGGGAAAGAAAATGTCCCTAGTGCTTTGTCATCAACATCCTGCATGTCATCATAGCAGAAACACCTGCCATTATCATATCAGTCTATCCCTTAGGGTTTCTAGAGGCTGCCCAAACCTTTCATCAATCTCCAGTTTGGGAAAACAGAAGAGAAGACTGTGTATGAACAAAAGTAAACCAAGTGCAAATCAATTTCAAACATAAGAAAAAATGTTTTATTAAAAAAAGTCACTAAATGATTTACTGACACATAAATATAATGGAAATGGATATAGCATTTTTTCTTCAGCTAATCAAGGGGCCCCTTAGTCGGCAGGCAGGCCTCGGATAAACTGTTATGTGTACGGTGAAAGAAAACCAGCTGCCAAGACCAGGCCTTGGATGGCCCTGACGTGCTTCTTACCTGAACTATTGGGTTATCGGAAAAGTCATGATGCATTTTTGCAATAAAAAACATAGAAAAAACACATCATGACTTTTCCGCCAACCCAATACATTCAAGATACCAAAATTTCCAAACTCTCAGGTAAGAAAAAAGATAGAAAACTTCAGAACACTTAAAAAAAAAATGAATCCCTTTCTCTTGTGCTATCAATTTGTCTTTTCCACCACCTTCTTTCTCCTAATCATGCCTTCTCTAACCCAGGTGTTCTTAAGCAGGTGTGTTCATTAGAATTAGCCATGGTGTAGCTGTCTACTCTAGACTCTGCCCCCCCCCCCCCCCCCCCCCCCCGCAACTCCTCTGTCAGTGTTTCTCTTCTTAAATAAACTTTCTAACTTCTAAAATAAAGAAAAAAGAAAAGAATTACCTGTGGAGAGTTGAAAATGTATCTGCCTAGGACAACCCTGGGAGACCACCATTCAGTAACTGGGGTAGAGCCCAGGTATGTACTTTCCAAAATGCCAAGACCCTACTGTACTAGCATTCATGTATTTCCTGAACACCTACTTAGTCTGGGTGCTCTGTGTTGCTTGGAGACTAGCAGGCAACACGGATAATTAAACGTGCAACCAGCAGGTACTATGTAGTTTGTCAAGTACTATGACAGAGAAGTATGGGGTAAAGGAGACCCTGGGGGTGTAGGTAGCAGACCCCAAGTTTACCACGCCTTCACCAACGTCTACATGGCTGCCCACTCAGCTCCTTTTAATGAGAGCATTTCCTGCCCCTCGCTGTATCAGTGGGGCTCAAAGTTAGATTTGAATCATCTGGCAAACTTTTCATTTAAGTGCCTAATAAATTTTAATTATTATTATACTGTGTTTCCCCATGTATAAGACGCACCCCTTTTCAAAAAATTCGGGGTCTAAAAACTGGGTGCGTCTTATACAGTGGTTGTAGATTTTTTTTAACCTGCATTTCCCGGTTTTTTTGGCACTCGTTTTTGCACTCATACAACCACTGTATAAGACGCACCCAGTTTTTAGACCCCAAATTTTTTGAAAAAGGATGCATCTTATACATGGAGAAATACGGTAACTGCATTTTTTTTTTTCTTTTTCTTCTTCTTTTCTGACAAACTTAAACCTCTGGATGCCCAGGTTGCACTAAATCAACATTTCTAGGATGGGATTCAGGTATCCGTATTTTTTAAAATCTCCAAGATTCCAATAGGTAACCCAGGTTAAGAACAAATGTATTTAGTTTATTTCTTAAGGAAAAAATTCTGTATCCCTTTAGAAAACAGCCTGTAGGAAGGCTCGCTCAGTAGAAGCCTATGTCTCACCTCATCTTTGTCCTTGACTCCTTTTTTTCTGGGAGGCTGGACAGGCAATTTTGTGAAAGGGAAGGTCAGGAGCAATACAGCAGCAATCATTTCCCAATCGAGAGGGATGAGCTGCTCCCCTCAAAGAGGGAGTTTACTGTAGGGGGAGGCAAGAAGGTAACAGTTTGGGGCAAATAATTAAACTAAAGCTAACATTTAGTTTAATTATTAAACTAAATAATGCACTCTGCTAAGAGTCTACCTCATCTCACTCAGTTTGCTATGTGATGCACATTATATTTAATCTAATTTTAACACTGAGGAGCCTGAGAATTGGAGAGTTTAGGTAATTTGCCCTGGCCACACTGATGGTAAGTGCAAAGTCAAGATGAGCATCTGATTGACACCAGAGCCTCTGGCACTTTCACACATTGCTTAGAAGTAAAAATGGGGGCTATTAATAAGATACATCCTCACTTTGAAAGTCCTACACAGTTGCTTTATCTTGTGTTTAACTATTTCTTTTGTATATTTTTTCCAAAGTAACCACTGGCTACAATAAACCTATCCCCGATTTACATGAATTTTGATGACATTATTTTTACATCTTTTGTACAGTATATTATTTATTCATATTTCTGTCACTATTAATTTTACCTACTAATTACTTATTATGTCCCAGGCCTTTTACATTAATTGTCTCAAATTCTCAGAACAATTCTGCAAGGAATGTGGCTCTGAGAGGTTAAGTAACATGTTCATGCTCATGCAGCTAGGAAGTGGCAATGTGGCCATTTGAATGCCAGAGGCCATGATTTTTCTGTAATCTCATAGCTGAAGGGAGTCCCCAACAGGGCACCTGAATTAGAGCCACACTCACCCTGACTGCCAGACAGAAGGTGGAGGTGGGTGCCAGGGGAAGGAGAGTCTGTGTTTCTCTGGCAGACCATCCCAAGGTTGAACTTGGAAAACATTTTTCTTTCAGGCAGGTTGTTAAGCTCTGAAATTATTAACATAGCAACTGTACCTAAAATACAATTCCAGGTAGAAAAGCCTTTTTTGGCCTGGCCCTGAAACAAACCACTTTACAGATTATGAAATAAGAAGAGTCAGTGTTCCAAACAAGACACAAAAAACTTCACGGTAGGTTGGGCACTGGCTGTTCTGAAGCAAGGGTTTTACAGGAGCGCTTTTACCTACTTATATTGGACTGCAGCCTTCTTTCAGGATTAACCAATACCACTGCTTGTTTTCCCTGAGTACATGTCCTACCAATTTGCAACTGCATTTATAAAATGGCAGTTCAAAATCCAGAGAAACCTGTTTTCCAGAGATATTTTAGGAAGAAGGATTTGCACTGCTAATTATGGGGGGGCCTTTCTGCAATCGTTCAATTACCTATTGTAACTTTGATACTGATACAATCACAGTAACTTTATTTCAATCCCTTTCTACAAACAGGAAGCTGGATAAATCACCATTTTTCAGTGTTGATTTACATTGCTGCAGACATTGACGTATTTTTCCATCTGTATCAAGAGAATCCTGAAAATCTTAAAAGATCTAATAAAATAGAACCTAAATCAAATATGAAACTTAAGAACTAGTCAATCACAATACAAAAATATCAGACCTCCTTTCTCCTTCTTCTAAATTAAGTTTTCAAGTGAAAAGTTTCCACATTAGATAAAGTGAAGCTCTAAATGCCAGGTAACTACCGTGTTTCCCCGAAAATAAGACCGGGTCTTATATTAATTTTTGCTCCAACAATCTACATTTATTCATGTACAAAAATCTACATCTATTCAAACAGTCATGTCTGGCTGACGATCTTAACTGGGGCTTATGTTTGGGGTAGGGCTTATATTACGAGCATCCTGAAAAAACATGCTTGGGCTTATTTTCCAGTTAGGCCTGATTTTTGGTGAAACACAGTGTCTAGCATTTGACTTTTCTTCTCAGTCATGAATGGAACTTACCCATCAATGGTTAATTGCACACATGCTTTGAGTATGTTTGTGTGTACATAGGGATGCAGGGAATAAAGTAGCGCAAGCTTCATGATGCTCTCTCCACATTTTCTGCCTACTATCTCTTGGAACCAAGGGCCCCATTTTTAAGACAGTGGGTCAGACATTAGTGGAGTTTGTTGTTGTTGGTTTACTTCAAAGTATGTGTGTGCCAGGGGTGTTAGAAAAGGCAGATTCTTGGGCATCTCCACAGACCTACAACATCAGAACCTTTTGGGGGTCAGGTCCTGGAATTTGAATTTCTCCAGTTCCCAAGGTGATTCTTCTACACATTCAAGTTCGAGATCAGCAAAGAGAAGGCTCCGGAGCTAATAGGTCACAGACATTCTCAGGCTGGTTTTTTTTATAGGACACGAGAGATTATTACTCTGAACTGAAGAGATTGGGAAGCGCAATGGACTAACAGTAGGGGGTTTGAGGTTTTAATCTTTGTCATGAGTGTGTCTGTGACAAAGCAAATTAAGATTTCCTCCCTGGGTCTCTTTAGTCTGCATAATGAAGGGGTTGGGCTCCACCGCCCAAATCCTTCAAGGCTCCAGCGTCACAGAACCGAAGTCCACGCAACGCTGAACTGCTAAGGCCCAGAGTAGCAGAGCAGAGGTCAGCTCCACCGCCGCCCGCGCAACCACCTCCGGCGGGTTCGAGGTCTCGATTTAAAGGGCAAGAGACGGGCGAGGCTGCGCCGTCCCGCCAGCACCCGCCTCTCTCCCGGGGCTTCCTCTTCCCTCCCAAGTGACCGCGCGGATATGGACGCGGGAGCTCCCGGAGGGGACCGGATGCCATTACCCGAATGCGGCAGCGGGCCGTGCGAGGGGAACGTAGATTTCCGACTTCAGCGTGGAGAGGAGAAACCCCAGCCGCCGCGCGCTGCGGTTGCCCAGCGCCATCATCATAGACCCAGGTCGCGCCAGTGCGGGCAGCACGCATGCGCTGAGCCCTACAGGCCGCCCTGGGACCACCTCTCTGCCCGCGCCGCGTGGGAACACGCATGCGCCGGCCTCCCAGCAGCCATTGGCCCGCCTGCCTCAGCCCGGATACTTGGCCCAGTAGTCCGTTGGGTTCTTGCTGATCTTTGACAGGAACGCGACTCGCAGTGTCACGGGGACCTGGGCACAGATCCTCTTCTCTTGGGGTGCCAGGTCTAGCTCCTGAAGAGCACCTCCCCTTTGGCTCTGCCTTGCCTCCGCCTATGCGGGGTAACCTGGTAGTTCAGGGAGGCAAGGACAACCCCCTCCCCCCCAGGCGGGGCTCAAGAGGGATAGGTGGAGAACGGGGCTCTCAGTCTGGCTGCTAAGGTGGGAAGTGCATTTTCTTCCACTGATGGAATTTAATTTTTTTTTCTTCCTACCACCTCACACCCATTGGAATTGCTATTATCAACAACAACAACAAAAAAACCAAATTAATGTGTTGGCGAGGATGTGGGAGAATTGCATTGTTAGTGGGAATATAAAGTGGTGCAGTGGCTGTGGAAGATAGTACAGCAGTTACTCAAAAAATTAAACATAGAATTACTTAATGACCTGGCAATTCTACTTCTGGGTATATACCCAAAGGACTTGAAAACAGGCTCTCAAACTAATATTTATACGCCCATGTTCATAGCAGCATAATTCATAATAGCCAAAAAGTGGAAGCAACTCAAGTCTATCAATGAATGAAAGTATAAATAAAATGTGTACATATAATGGAATGTAGTTTTGTCTTAAAAAAGGAAATTCTGACATGCTACAATATGGATGAACCTTGAGGATATTATGCGCAGTGGAATAAGCCAGTTGCAAAAGGACAAATACTGGATGATTCCACTTATACGAGTATGAATTACCTAGAGTACTCAAATTCAGAGACAGAAAGTAGAATGGTGGTTGTCAGGGACTGGGGTTAGTGTTTAATGAGTACAGTTTCAGTTTTCCAAGATGAAAAAGCTCTGGAGTGCCGGGGACCGAGGGCCCCTCTAGGAGCTGTGAGGGAGAGGTTGGTGCAAGGTCGCACTCTCCTACTGGGCTTCAACAAGGCTGGCTCAGCACCGCAGCAAGCTGAGGTGGTTTCCCTGTACCCAGAGGTGGTTTCTATACATTGGTTGCAATCATCCTGCAGCTGATGCACAGAACGTTCTCTGCTCAAGGCTAATCTCCTCCCCTCAATAAGCAAGACTATATCAATAAACCATGGCTGCTAGACTGGGTCACTGTCCTCCCATCAGGAGACAGCTGTCCACCTAGCCCCTGCTTTCAAGTTTTTCTTTGTCTTTCTTCATCCTCCCATTGCCCCCATCAGGCCTGTTCGACTAGCTGTGCTGGACGCAGCGCTGGAGAAAAATAGTGTGATGGTAGCACAGCAGTGTGAATGCATTTAATGCCACTGACCTTTACACTTAAAAATGATTATGATGATAAATTGTGATGTGTATTTTACAATTAAATTTTTTTTTCTTCAACCATACAACTCAAGCTTTAGAAAGGTTATAAGCATCTGCAATTGACTATCCAGTGGACAAAAAAAACTACCTATTTAATTCTGACTACCATTATGCTTCTCCTTAACTGGAAATAACTGGCAGATTCATGTTTAGCCTTGACTTTAATTATTTGAGATAACAGCTTCCTTGCATATTTCATTATTTCTCCTCCACGAGACTCTTCCACTGTAATAGTCCTGTATGCACAGTGCTTTTAAGTGTTACAGCCATAGGAAGTTCTGTTATTTGCAGTCCTCAATGGCCCATTGGAGTTTCTTGAGCAGTAAAGGCAGGTTTGGCTTAAATATGGAATATGCAAAAAATATTTTTATTCTACTTTCAACATAAATCTATCACATCAAATTTCCTGCATAGAAGGAAAGAAAAAAAATATATATATTTCAGCTATCATTTGACTTTCACAAATCTTGAGGGGTCAAGATTTTTTTATTTTTCCCTGAAATATTGATTGGGATTTCTTATCAGGGTTAAAACTAATTGTCTGTATAATTTCAACACCAGTTATCCTATTGGTAAGCAAAATGGTAGCACTGTGAGGTTTTAGGTTACCTGTGTCACAATTTAAGTACACACTTGAGAACTTGTCTTTTATGTATAACACAGTGTGCAGTTTAAAAAATAACTACTATTTTTATGCCAGGCACCTTATAATGCATTATCTTACTTAAATCCTCACACCAATCTTATGCAGATGAGGAAATGGAGGCTGAGAGAGGTTAGGAAGCAGGCCCTAAGCATACAGGTGATGGGTGGCAGAGGAGAATTTAAGCCTGCTTCATTTTAAAACCCTGTACGTGGATTATTACATATTATAGAATTCTGTAGTAGCATTAGCCCTTCAGTGATTTCTTTGTGATCAGAGGCCTCTGAAATCTTGATCATATGAACACCTATTTACATTATAATTAGAAAAACTGTTCTCTACAAATAACACACATTAAAATGTTTAGTAAAATAGTATTTAAAACATTTTGTGATAAAGAACTCCTTCTCTTGTTCCTGAAGTCCTAACTTCACATTATGGACCCAAATGAAAGATTATAACCATAGCAACAAGGGGAAAATCTGCCAAGCAAGACTGTGAGAGCAGGAAGTGGGTCTTACCAGTAGCAACCTTAGGGTCTGAGTATCTTTTATTGGAACCAAGTATGGATACTTTTCTTTATCATTTTGTAGTCCGTGTCATCTCACTTACTTGGTTTCTGCCCAAGACTAGTGTTTGTGTGGTGCTTGGGCCTTGTACTGAAACTCCTCAGATATACATTTGACTCTTTTTAGCCACGTTTTTAGAGAGTGGGGTCTGAAGGAAACACCTCTAAGCCATGTTTGAAGGACAGCAGTGCTGCAGGCTCAGGGCAGTGAGCTTTTGTTCTGAGAGAGAAAATGCACTCCAGAAACTTCTCTTTTTATCATCAGCTTTCTCTCTCCTGCCAATAATAGCAGGCAGGTGGGAAGGGAGTATGTACAGGAACTGCCAACCTAAGTGGTCACGTCACAGTGGTGAATCCCAAACTGTCTCATTTATACAAACACACATCATTTCAATGGCTTATCTTTAAGGCACAAAATTTTACTTTTAAAAAGTCGATTAAAATACTTTCCATTTTTGCCTCTTAATAGTGATCATTCAGTCTCTTCAGAATTTAGAGATTTTACAACATCATTAGGAAAGAGGTACAGGGATACATTTAAGAAAGAAATCATCCAGCCCCCGCTAGCAAAGCCTGGGACCCTCCCCCCTCCAGTTTTCCTTTTGGTATACTTGTATGTGGTCTAATGCTGTGTGGCAACTACGCATCGAGCCTGAATATGCGTGAGTAGAGAACTGAGGTTCTTACTTTATAGCAGTGCCCTTCTCAACAGGGGCAATTTTCCTCTGCCGGGAAACATCTGGCAATGTCTAGAGACATTTTTTGTTTGTCACACTGGGGATGGGAGGAGGGGGAGAAGAGCACTACAGGCATCTAGTGGGTAAAGGCCAGGGTTGCTTCCAAACATCCAATGCACAGGACAGTCCCCACAACAAAGAATTATCCAGCTCAAGATGTTAATAGTGCTGAGGCTGAGAAATTCTGCTTTACAGTCCCACTTCAGGGGTGTGTCTATCTGCTGAGGCCAGAGGAGATTTAGAATCAGAACCAACAATACTGTTATCAACACACCAGACACTAGAATCTGTTCTGACAGCTAGATTGACCATACTGCACCCTTCTTTTCTTCCCTCCTGGGCAGGCTAAGCACAATGGCATACTCTCTATGTTAAGTAAGGTGTTGGCAGTGATGCTGGGTGACTCAGCTGGCTTCAGTCTTCCAGTCTTCTATTGGGTTGTTGGAAAAGTCATGACTTATTTTTTTCTATGTTTTTCGTTGCAAACATGCGTCATGACTTTTCCGACAACCCAATAGTTTCTTCAGTCATCCCTGAGTTTCACATGGGTTTTGAAAGGTTGTGTGCACAATTACCAGGCTCTAAAGCTGTCCTTTTTTTACATTATAGCTCACAGGAAAAAATGAAAATATTTCCCCAGTACCCTAGGGTAAACTGGGAGGCTGTTCAGCAGTGATCAGTCCTGAGGATCCAGTCATAGGGGTGTGGGGTAGTATTCCCTGCGTACCTGCTCCCTCTTCAAGGCACACAGGTTGGGAAAGTGCATAAAGTATCAGGATACTAGGAAAGAACTTAAAATCTAATCAAGAATTTTTGTAGTTGTCACAGTTAATAGCAATTTCTTGCAACAACTGCCTGGGAAATTCTGGTATTTTTGTTATCAATTTTTTCCCCCTTCTTACTATTCCTTAAAATCCCTTCAGTTAATTTATGGAGTGGAAATTGCATGCAATTCTTGAAGCCCGTAGTGACTGACATGGCATTTTGATACTGAAGTTAACAGACCCTATAATGAACTGTAGTTGTGATATAAAAAAAAAAACTATTTAAAGAGAACTTGGAATTCTTCTGTACTTCGGTTATAACAGGAGCTTATGTGGGGAAGAGAGCACAAAATAAGAAAGTTGATTTAGTTTATAGTCTCTGAGTTTTTTTGTTTGTTTATTTTCCCCACTCCAATAAAACTCCAGGAAACTGAATGAACAGCATAATTGAAGGTTATGGGATGAACAAATACTCTCTCTTCTTTCCCTTTCAAAACCCAATTAGACTTCTTTTTTGATTGGGGCTTGGCCATTAATAAATCTTCCTGTTTAGTCAGTTGTTTGCTGTAGATTTCTTTCCCATTCTCCAGCTATGAAATGCAGGAAATGATTTTTATGCAGACACAGAACCCATATCAGTGAGGAAGAATTCTGGATGATCTGAGGCAGCACACTTCCAGTGATTACTCACTAAGTGAGGACTTGACTTCATGCTGCCAAAGACCCTTCTAGACTTAGTTCTGGCTGATATGTATCAAAGAGTTCACAAGGTCTATTCTTGAACATTGGTAGAGAGAATAGGCCAGCTTTCCCACTGTGGCCCCCTTATTGCCTTCCCTCATTAGCCACTTTTGAAGCATCTGGTAAACCTTTTCTTTTAATCCATCCCGCTCATAGTCATGGTCAATTTCATCGATCTGAGATTCAGTGAAGCCTAGTTTACGGGCACAACTTTTCCAGCTCTTTCCCAGATTGTCCCTGACTGGGTCCAGGTGTTTATCAGTCAGACTAGTGGTATTACCTGCCAGAAAGAAAAGAGAAGAAGGCATCAAGCTGTAACCCATTTGAATATTATAGCTTCAAAAGCCTGTATAAAGTGAATACCTTGAGTACAGTGAAAAAGATAACTTCTTAATTATATAGTTGTTGACTCACTGAATAATACTCTACATGTCTACTAGCCCACTGGAGTCTTTGTGAAATAGGGAACCTCTTCCTCCTAGCAGATGCATCTCAGAACCACAGCTGATGGCTTTGGGAACAAAACCCGTGCCTGACTGCTAGGCTGTTTTATACAACCTTAGCCAGCATCCCTGTTCTTATTAGACCTTTCTAATGTAAAGGGGGAAAACACCGCATTTGTTCCTTTTGGGTATTTTCCACTTACACCAGAGTTAAGGTCACTCAGCTCCTGGTCCCCATTCACCCAACAGTTCACTTTCCTCTTACTTAATCAAGGAAAATAAGACCATCAGGTGTGAACCTAGTCAATTACAATGCCTTCCTTTGTCTTTTAAGGGGTGAGGCATCTATACGCTTCAAGGTCTATTTTTGGACTCATCCCACCCCGGCCCCAACTGCTGTCCTCTCTTCTCTTATCGCCAAAACCTTTCTTCCTATTGGTTCCTTCCCCTTAGGCTTTTGTAAAAATAAAAGGAAACAAAAGTACAAAATAACCACCACAAACAAACCATATTCCTTGATCCTCATCCTACCTCAGTAAGCTGAATGTAAGGAAAAAGGTATCTCATTTTTGCCCCCTCAGCTCCCATTCTTTCCTCAGCTCCCCACAATGCAGCTTTTATCATCACCGTTGGACGTCAGCAGTCCAAAAACCTCCCAAGATAATTCATACCTTTTTGGGAGAGAAAACCCTAGGTTTCATCAGATTCTCAAAGATGCCCTTGTCTCCCCCTAATCTGGAACCTCCATTCTAGGTATTTGAAAGACTATCCTTCAAATGGGCTAGACCAGGGATTGGCAAACTCCGGCCTATGGACCAAATCAGGCCCATAGGCCCGATTTTTGTTTCTGTAAACAAAGTTTGATTGGAGTACAGCCATCTGTGTACATATTGTCTGTGGCTGCTATTGCACTACAATGTGAGTTGAGTAGTTGTAATGGAGATCTCAGGGCCAGCAAAGCCTAAAGTATTTACTATCTGGACCTTGACAGAAAAAAATTGCCAATCCTAGGGTTAATCAGAAATCTGCGTCCTTACATCACATTGTTTGGGCCTCATGACTGCTTTTCCCAGGCTGTGTTTTGGGATTAATATTATGAGCCTGTATAGTGGAATCCTGTAAGAGAAAGCCTTCATTTTTATTACAGAGGTGCTGTTGAGGGCATAGTCTCCTATTGTTTACAGAATTCCTTTTCATGAGGACCTGAGGGAGCTCTCTCTCCTAGGTCTGAGTAGTAATATTAATGAATTAATGATGATGACTATGATAATTTAATACTATTATAGATCTTACTATGTGCCAATATTCTAAGCTCTTTATACATATTGACTCATTTAATTTTCACAACAAATCCATGAATTATATATTGTAATTATCCCCATATTAAACATAAATTATAAGGAAATTTTATGGAAATTACAGACATATTTTACAGAGGAACCATGGTACAACTTTCAGGGAGAATAATCAGAGAAATTTTAGGATTCCACTACATCCCTTTCAACAAATAAGAAAGTTCAAGGTTGCTGTATAGATAATGGGTCCTTAAAGGGCATGTTACCAAAGATATCTAGGTACTTAGAAGCTGGCTCTTCTTTCAAGTTCATGTACGTGCTGTCCAGTGACCACGAATTCATTCTACCAATCTCCATATGATTATTATCTCCAATCTGAACGCCGGTACTGTTGTATATGGAACATCTTACAGATTCATCTGAGTAGAAGGAAACACAGAAGTAAATACATCTAAAAGGAAAGTAAGATAAAAAATACAAATGGTAAAGAGGAAGGGCTTTAATCCAAATGTTTAAGTTAAATTATTTATCCTATGCCAGCCTGTAAAATTTTCTTTTTTAAAATGTGGCTGAATAACCTTGCATTCATTAGGATGACTACTTTCAAAAAGACAGAAAATAACAAATTTTGACAAGGATGTAGAACAACAGGAACCTTTGTGCGATTCTGGTAGGAATACAAAGTGGTACAGCCACTGTGGAAAACAGTATGGCGGTTCCTCCAAAAATTAAAAATAGAATTACCATATGATCCAGTAATTTCATGTCTGAGTGTATATCCCAAAGAATTGAAAGCAGAGTCTCAAATAGGTATTTATATACCCATACTCATAGCAGCATTATTCACAACAGCCAAAAAGTAGAAGCCACTCAAGTGTCCATCAACAGATGAATGGATAAACAAAATGTGATATATACATACAATGGAATATCATTCAGCCTTAAAAAGGAAGGAAATTCTGACACATGCTGCAACATGGATGAAACTTTAGGACACTGTGCTAAGTGAAGTAAGCAAGACACAAAAGGACAAAAATACTATATGATTCTACTTTCTGCGGTACGTCTAGTATTAGGTTGGTGCAAACGTAATTGCAGTTTTTGCATTGTTGAAATTTGCCTTTGATATTGGAATACATTCTTAAATAAATGTGGTTATATTATACTGGGTTGTCGGAAAAGCCATGACGCATTTTTGCAATGAAAAACATAGAAAAAATACGTCATGACTTTTCCGACAACCCAATACATCATTTTAATGAGAATTTCTCGCTTTATTTTTTTTTGCTAATGACATTACATGCTGTTTATTTTACATGTGTTTCAAACCATGGAAATGATGTCAGATAAAAAGGAAATTCGAGCGATTTTCTTATTCGAGTTCAAAATGGGTCATAAAGCAGTGGCAACAACTTGCAACATCAACAATACATTCAGCCCAGGAACTGCTAACAAACATACAGTGCAGTGGTGGTTCAAGAAGTTTTGTGAAAGAGATGAGAGCCTTGAGGACGAAGAGCATAATGGCCAGCCATCAGAAGTTGACAACGACCAATTGAGAGCAATCATCGAAGCTGATCCTCTTACAACTACATGAGAAGTTGCCAAAGAATTCAATGTGGACCATTTTACGGTTGTTTGGCATTTGAAGCAAATTGGAAAGGTGAAAAAGCTCGATAAGTAGGTGTCTCATGAGCTGACCACAAATAAAAAAAAAATCGTTTTGGGCCGGCCGAGTGACTCAGTTGATTAAGAGCTTGCTCAAGAGTTTGAGCTCTGAACAACAGAGGTTCAATTCCCGGCCTGAGCTGAGCTGCCACTAGCTGCCAACAGGTGGCAGGATGGCTCAGCTAAAAAAAAAAAAAATCGTCATTTTGAAGTTTCCTCTTCTCTTATTCTACACAACAACAATGAATCATTTCTCGATCAGATTGTGAAGTGCGACAAAAGTGGATTTTATACGACAACCGGGGACGACAAGTTCAATGGTTGGACCAAGAAGAAGCTCCAAAGCACTTCCCAAAGCCAAACCTGCACCAAAAAAGGGTCATGTTTGGTGGTCTGCTGCCTGTCTGATCCACTATAGCTTTCTGAATCCCGGCGAAACCATTACATCTGAGAAGCATGTTCAGCAAATTGATAAGATGCACTGAAAACTGCAACACCTGCAGCTGGCATTGGTCAACAGAAAGGGCCCAATTCTTCTCCACGACAATGCCTGACTACAACCAACGCTTCAAAAGTTGAAAGAATTGGGCTACGAAGTTTTGCCTCATCCGTCATATTCACCTGACCTCTCACCAACTGACTACCACTTCTTCAAGCATCTCAACAACTTTTTGCAGGGAAAACACTTCCACAACCAGCAGGATGCAGAAAATGCTTTCCAAAAGTTCATCAAATCCCGAAGCATGGATTTTTATGCTACAGGAATAAAGAAAATTATTTCTTGTTGGCAAAAATGTGTTAATTGCAATGGTTCCTATTTTGATTAATAAAGATGTGTCTGAGCCTAGTCATAATGATTTAAAATTCACAGTCCGAAACCGCAATTACTTTTGCACCAACATAATAATTAAATTCATGGTCACAGAAAGTAGAAAGGTTGGTTGCCAGAGGCTGGAAGGAGAAAGGAGAATGGGGAGTTATTGTCTAATGAGTACAGAGTTTCATTTTGGGAAAAAGAAAAGCGTTTTGGAGATGAATGATGGTGGACAATGCGGTTTTCATCACAAATTGGTAGTCTTTGGCCTATATTAAGTAAGAAATAAACATATCCAAGACTTATTTCTTACCTTCAGAAAGCTGCAAGCAAATAAAAGAATACAAGCAAATACCTTCACTTGCCTCAGAGATTGGGTATAATGGGACTGTTGTGATCCAAATTAGAGTGGAAGATGCTTACCAGTTACAAGAACCTGTAAAAACCAACATTTTAGGCAACCGCAATAAATCCTACCCAAACTGAAATATGCCCAGGCCAAGGGGTCTGATGGAAACTTCCATGGTGGCAAGTTGCATCTGGCAGCTGAAGACTCTGAACAACTTGCCCTTTGTTACCTATGGACACCAAAAGAGCTGATGGCTGTTTTATTTTCAGAAAAAAATTTTAAAACGATAAGATTGTGACTGAAAGGCCTGTTTACCTCTTGATGGAAAGGAGACAAATGGAATGGTGGGTGTGTTTCCTGGTAGGTTGGTCTCAGGTACTGGAGTTTTAGGCAGGCTTGACATCTGGCTTGGATTTGGTCCATTACAAACTCTGGAACCTACTGTTTGTAGATCCAATGGTCTTGTTCTAAAACCATGTGTACCAAATAATGCATTGTTCCAGTATAGTACTTGGGGTTGGCTGGTCAGCCCAGTTGGTTGGTGTACTGCATTACCATGAGTAGTTGCACTGGTAGAAGCAAGGCCTTTTATTCCTGGGTTCTGAACATTCTCATAAGGTCTCGGCTGTGCAAAAGGGTCATGGGAGACCCGTCGTCTCCTTTCCTCCTCTCTACTGTAAGCCACATTCTGTCTGGGCTGCTGTTTTGTCTGCCTGTCCATGCGGCTGCCAAAAAGATGGTAGTTGGCCTCATCCTGGAGTTTATTCTGCAGGCTGGGCTCATTTTCCTCCTGCTGGTGCTCTGGGGAGGGATCAAACCAGGACTCCTCCACGGGACCCATCCCGAGTCCCTGTGAACTGTGTAGAGAACCCGGCTGTTCTGTGGCTGGGAAGAAATGATTGACACTGGAGAGAGTTTCATAAAATATTAAAAAGTAAAATGAAACCTAAGCCCCATAATAAATCTGTGCCTCAGAGTAACATACTGAAAACGTTGAAAACAAGTAAAAAGCATTTACTAGATGGCCCTCTTCCTTAATACGTAATAAGTAAGAGCCCCCTGCCTGGCAGTGAAAGAGCACTAGGGAAATTATAAGCAACAGAAAAATGGGTGTCGCAGGAATGACCATGGAAGAAGGGGACTTGTGTTGCAGCAGGGAAGGTGGTTGTCTCCTTGGTGTGAGGCAGGGTTGGAAAATATGAGCAGGTTTGTGCTAATCACGTTCCATGGGTTCTTTCATTATTTAAAAGCCCTATAAGAGTAGGAGCAATTATGATTTGATGATGAGGTTTAAGAGGTTAAGTGATTTTTCCCAGAACAGATAGCTAATAAGTGGCTTCCACATCCTATACTCTGCCTTCCCTTTAGTTATAAGGAAAAAAAGCATCCCTGCTTGAATCTGAGACTGGCCTCTCTGCTTGTATTCTGGATCTAGTCATCCCTGAACTTCTCAAGGACTTTGCTCCCATATATGTCCCCTTCTTTTTCCTGAACCATCACTTCCTCCCTATCAGATATAGTAGGACTCTTATATTCAGGATACTGTATGATTTTGGTGAACTCCATGTTACTTAATATTTCAAATATATGAATCTTGACTCCCGAATGTGTCATAAATTCCTTTAAGGCAGGTGTTCAATTTTATAGCTTCTTGTTTCTCATATGGTTGTGAATAGTATTTTAGAGTGAACAAGTGAGCAAACAAATAAGTGAATAAATATATTTTCAATCATAGTATAAGCTACCTGAATTTGACCTGCTTGGAGGAATTGCTACACAGTCCATCTGGAGAGACTGCATTCTCTTCACCATTTCATTTTGGCAAGGATACTCTTTCTATAATAAAGAGCATAAATACACACGTTAGTAAACAGCAGAAATAGTTCCAGAAAATTATTACAAGACTGAATCTTTTCAGAAGGTAGAAATTTCATATAGCTCTTATAAGCCATAACTATTTTTTAAAAGTAAAATGTTCCTCCCAAAGAGCCAAACAATCTTTAAAAAGAAGAACAAGTTGGAGGGCTCACACTTTCTGATTTCAAAACTCACTACAAAGCTACAGTAATCAAAAAAGTATAGTGTGGCCTAAGGACACACATATAGACCAACAGAACATAATGGAGAACCCAGAAATAAACCCTTGCATAAATGGGCAATTGATTTTTGACAAGGGTGTCAAGATCTTTCAATGGGGGTTCACTGCATTTCCACCTGTAAAAGAATGAAGTCAGATCCTTACCTTTCAACATATACAAAAATTAACTCAAAATGGATCAAGGACCTAAGGTAAAACTATACATAGTTTTAAAAGAAAACATGGGGGGAAGCTTCAAGACATTGGATTTGACAATAATTTCTTGGATATGGCACCAAAAGCATAGGCAACAAAATAAAAATAAACTGGCCTACATCAAAATTAAAACCTTCTGTGCATCAAAGGACACTATCAAGAGAGTGAAAAGACAACCCATTGAAAAAAGGAAAAAAAAAAAAAAAAGGAAAAAAAGTATTTACAAATCATATACATCTGATAAGGGATGAATATCCTGATTATATAAAGAATTTTTAAAAGTCAACAACAAAAACAGACAACCCAATTCAAAAATGGACTAAGGACTTAAACAGACATTTCTCCAAATAAAATATACAAATGACCAATAAGTACATGAAAAGATGCTTAACTTCATTAGCCATTAGGAAATGCAAATCAAACCCACCATGAGATATATACCACTTCACACTCATTAGAATGACTATTATCAGAAAAACAAAACAAAACCCAGAATATGAAAAGCGTTGGTGAGGACAGAGAAACTGGAATCCTTGTGCATTGATGGTGGGAATGTAAAATGGTGCAGCCACTGTGGAAAACAGTTTGATGGTTCCTCAAAAAGTTAAACATAGAATTATCATACAATCCAAAGTTCCACTGCTGGGTATATACCTAAAAGAACTGAAAGCAAGGGATTCAAAAAGGTACTTTGGTATACAGCATTATTCGTTCTAGATAAAAGGTGGAAACAAGCCAAGTGTCCATCAACAGCTAAATGAATAATCAAAATGTGATATATAAATACAATGAAATATTATTCAGCCTTAAAGAGGGATAAAGTTCTGATACATGTTAGAAAATGGATGAACCTTGAAAACATTATGGCTAAGTGAAATATGCTAGATGCAAAACGACAAATAATGTATGATCCCATGTCTATGATGTACCTAGAATAGGCAAATTCATAGAGACAGGAAGTAGAACAGAGGTAACCAGGAGCTGGGGAGAGAAAGGAATGGGGAGTTGTTGAATGGGTACAAAGTTTCTGTTTTGGATTTTTAAAAAATGGAAATAGATACTGGTAATGGTTGCACAAAAATGTAAATGTATTTAATGCCACTGAATTTTACACTTAAAAATGGTTACGATGGTAAATTTTATGTTATGTCTCTTTTATCACAATAAAAAAAAAGAAAAGGGAAGTTTTTCCCCTATAAAAGTAATAATACTAATTATAAAAAATATAGAAAATGTAGGAAATTTATTTTAAAAGAAAGAAATATACACATAGTGCCTTATTTTAAAGAAAAAAATTAACATTTTGGTATTTCCTTCAAGTTTTTTTTTCCTAGTTATATTTGCATTTTGCTCCTAACAGCTTGCCTGCTACATAGGTAGGTGGTCAAAAATATTCACTGAATGAACATGAGTGATTTTGGGGGAGAGTGACAGAGGATATTAATTATGTCCATGGTTTGTAGCATTTTGTATATTGCTTTTTATTTAACATAAGCATTTTTAAGTTATTTTAATTTTATATTATAAAAGCAAATGTTTTCTTTTTATAGTTATTTATTACACAAAATATATAAGTACAAATTCCTTTTAAAAGACTCAAACTGTGCAGAATCACACAGAGGGACACTTTAAAGTTGTTCCTTGCAACTCCCACTCTCTTCCATTCCCTAGAGGTAATCCTTATCCAGAGTATGTTGTGCATCCTTTTAGTCTCTCTAGGTATCTGTGTATATATTCTGGAAGTATACAAATGTGTATATATTTAAGATCAAAAGGATCACAATCTAAGTATTGTTTTGACTTAATTTCTCACTAATAGGTTTTGAAGATCTTTCCATATCATTGTATGTTAGTTTCTACCTCTTTTAAATGGCTATACAGCCTTCTGTAGTTTCGCTGATTCAATTATTTAGTATATCTACTTAGGAACATTTGGGTCATTTCCAATTTTTCACTCTCAAAAACTAAGATGCAAAGAACTCCTGAAGCTAAATCTTTGAACATACATGTGAGTAGGATCGATTACTGAAGAGTAGAATCGCTGCAAACGTCTTGCATCTAAAAGTTTGATACATGCATTATCATTCAATAAACTTCATAAATTCACACTCTTAACCAATACTGCATTAGACTGCCTGTTATTCTGTGTTTTCACCAACACTTGATATTACCAATCTTTCAAAAATGTGAATCTAACAGATGAAAAATTATCATCAGTTCACTTTGCTTCTGCGTTAATGAGGTCAAGTATCTTTTCCAACCTTCATTGTCTATAGATTCATTGTGCTTATATTTTATTCAGGATTTTCACATCTGTATTAAGTGAGATTGGTCTGTAATTTTCCTTTTATCTTGTTTTTCAGGTTTGGGAATTAAAAATATGCTAGTCTCATAAAATGAGTCTGAAAGAGTTCCCTCTATTATCTGGACAAATTTTTATAAGATTGGGATATTTGTTCATTGAATATTTAGTAGAAATAACTAATGAAGCTATGTGTCAAATTTTCTTTGTGGGAAGAATTTTCATCACGGATTCAATCTCTTTTAATGGTTACAGGAATATTCAGGTTTTTAAACTCTGAGTCAGTTTTGCTAAGTTATACTTTTTTCTAGTCATTTGCCATTTTATCAAAGTTTTAAAATTAATTAGCAAAAAAATTGTTCACAATATCCCTTAATACTATTTTGATGTCTACAGGAGCTGTAGTGATGCCTCTTCATTTATTATTTCAGTCTCTGTTTCTCTTGACCAGTCTCAGTTGATTTTATTAGCCTTTCCAAAGAACCAACATTTAACTTTCAGATCCTCTATTAACTGTTTTCTATGCCACTAATTTATGCTCTTCTCTTATTATTTACTGCTTTCTATTTGCTCTAGATTTATTTTGCTATCTTCTCCAGATGAATGCTTGCCTAATTCATTTTCAGCTTTTCATATCCATATCTATATCTATATCTGTGTATATATATTTAAATGTAAATATATATACACACATATACATATACACACACATATATGAACGACTATACTACACTAGTAACTATTTCTTTGCAAAAAGCATTCTATACATTTTAATACGTAGTGTTTTTGTTAGCATTCAGTTCCAAATATTTTCTAAATTCCATTATTAGTATTATTTTTTTAACTAAAGCGTATTGAAAAGTGTATTCCTTAACTTCTAACCATGTGGGATTTTCTAATTATCTTTTTTTAAAATTATTTTTTATTGTGAAATATACATTTTTTAGAATTAGTTTCAGCTGTACAACACAGTGCAATAGTTATACTTTTTACCCCTCGAGGTGACAACCCC